ACGTTGTAAAAACATGTTCATTCCGAGCATGTTTCAGCTGTAACACTAATCAATGATTTCCTCTATATGACCGGTAGAGCCCCAGAAACAAACATCAGCAAATTCTTGTAATCCTAATAAAGTGGCTGTTTTTAGGAAGTTTTCATCAGTTGTAAGAGCCACTTAACAACCTGCACTTGTGTGTTACCAAATATTCGTGTTGGTTTGACATGTTACTTATGTGCTAAAGTTATTCAAGTTTATACAACAGTTAAGGTATATTTTGAATTGTATGTATTTGCTAATTCATTATATTCTGTTTTAGGTGCTTATTAACAGCTTATTGTTTGTGACAGTTGAAAATTCTGTAGTGCAGTTTAGTAGCTTAGCTATATATTATTGACCACAGGGATTTGTTAAGAGCGTGAAGTCTGCTTAGCAGTGGTTCCATACAAGTTTTTGACCGTGACACTGTGATATATGAAACGTGCAACCTGCAACCGGCAGTGTGAATAGAACAATGGAGATGTAATGGATATTTGGGCCATATGCATCCCCAGGTCGGTAATGGACAGAGCTAAGGTGTGTTGATAACCGTTTTGGCTGAAACTGGTCAAACAAACCCTCTCAAGTTTTTCACCGCCTGCCATTGAAGAGTGTTTCTGTTGGACGAGCATATTCCTATTAGAATATGGAACAAGGTAGAACGGCCACTACATCAATGTTGCCAATTTTTTTTATCATTCTAAAGCTTGAATGGTATATTTCTGTCTTTAGTCTGCTTGAAAATCTGATGCTGCCTTACAACATCCTCCTTTAGCTTTAAAGGAGTGAGTGTAGATCTCAATTAGTTGGAGGATTCTCTATAAAGTTTCATAAACCAATTTAACTCACTCGTAAACACACGAGTGCAGCACATTACCATGAGGTTGAGAAAGCATAGAACTCTTTGTGTGGTTTTGTCCGTGTGTGTTTGTGTGTGAGGGAGAGAGAGGTTTAAATCATCTCATTCACTTTCATTTAAGTCCGATGTCTGTAACCCACCAATCCCCCTTCTGTTTACTGAAGTGAAACCTAACACCTTTGCGTCATTCCTCTTTCGTGTGTGTGGAGTTGACTCAGAGCTGTGTTATCAAAAGAAAGCAAACAATCCTTTGAAACATGCAAAGGGAAGATTGGGGAGATGGTTTCGACAAAAGGGAAGCTGTCAATGGAACTGCGCAAAGAGGCAAGTATACGTGAACTGAGTTGAGGTTGAATGAAGAGTTTCAGGTCAGTGTGGCCAAGTTGAGCAAACAGACAGCAGTCAAGAGGGATATCGACCCGGGCTGATAAGCTATCAGCGGACATTCCTGTGCAGATGTGTAGCCAGAGCCACCTGCAGACATCAGGACACAGGACCTGGCAACAGGTTTCTAAATTCGCATCGGAGTGACGCACGACGAGGGAGAAAGATAACTCATCAGAATAACTTGACACTCAACAGAACTGAGTGTGATTCACCCACAAACAGGCTTCAATTCATTCTTTTTTCACTATAGTGACCCATCACACACACACTTACATTATACATTCCCTAGCCCCTTACCCTAACCTTAACCACCCAAACTAAATGACTAACCCTAAAACCAACTCTTAACCCTCAAACAGCCCATTGAAAAAGTGAGGACCAGTCAAAATGTCCTCACTTTCCAAAAATGTCCTCGGTCTGTACGGTCTATGCTTAAAATGTTCCTCACAAAGATATAAGTACAGGAACACACACACACACTACCTTGCCCTTTTCTAATGATCAGTGTTATGACACATAACACTCAAGATAAAATAGATAATATCTGAAGTGTCCTTTGAATCTCTTATTGTGTTGTGGTATTTCATTATGCCATAAATATGTTGTCTGATTTACATTTTATCTTAAAGGCCACATCTTTCAGTGCAAAATATTTTGTTCTCGAAACCCGGGGGAAATAGGCTGTGTCCCGATTCAGGGGCCCCACAGCAGTTTTAGCTCTTTTGTGCAGCTCAGCCACCCGCATGGCTAGCTTGTTAGCTTTGTCACCAGAACACACTGGGACAGGTGAGCCTGAGAAGGATCCAGCTGTTAAATCTTTTGTTGTAGATAAATATTTGTTGGGGCCTTTGAAATGGAGCAGCCTGGTTCCACCACCATGATGGAATCAGTCTTGAAATGCAGCTTTGAAAGGATAGAACCCCTGAATTGGAACTAAATAGTGACTAGAAAACCATTTTGGACTCTTTGGCTTTCCATCCCCTCAGAGGCAAACACTTTTAAGAAACACATAGAGGAGCTGCAGTTTTCCTTTATAAAAAAGTAGGTTTCTATAATGTTTGCATTTCTCAATAGATTTCAGTGAGTTGTATTGAAAGTTTTATGATCTTCGTGGAGCACTAAGAAAATGTTGTCTCCAGTTACTTAGAACTGGAGTGAACCAGTTCACAAGTGCACCCTTCACCTACCTTCTGCATGTGGGTCAGGGTGGACAGTGCAGGGGCATAGCAACATTTTCACAGTACTTCTATGAAACCAAAATATATACATTTTTAAATTTCTACAACAGAGGAGCTTTAATTGAAGTAAAAACTACATAATTGCTTCTAACAGCCTCCATGATCACAAAAAAATACTGTGTCAACTGTGTACCAGCAGAACCAGGTTCCCACCCTGAGCCTGTTTAATGTAATCAATGCAATTAATGTATTCACCAGTAATGACAAGGAAGGAGAATGTAGTGGGAGAAAAAAAATAATTTTTGGTCCTGCATCACTTTTGATCCTTTTTCCTGTTCAACATTAGTCTGGTAATAGGAGAGAAATATTAAAACGGTGGAAAACGACATGGAGCTGATTATACCCATCATTTCCAACATTTTGATGCCACAGGGAAACCTGACAGAAGACTTAAATCAACAGTAAATTTCCACAGTGCACCTTTTTCCTCTTTCAGTGTTTGTGTCTCTTTTAAAATAATCCATATTAAATTGCAGGATTTGAACACACTGTGACTTCTTCTGTGTGGCAGTACATTCAATATTCTGTTCTAAAGTTGGAGCATCAAGTGTGTGTTTTAAGTGTGTGTGTGAGTAACGTACAGTATTTGTGCATAAGTAGTTAGGACAGTAGGGAGAAGGGAGGAGCACTTGTTGTAAACTGGTTTCCTTCAGCTTGAAACATTTCTAGCATACCATCGTGCTGCTTCATACTAATTAGTGTCCAAGTCCATAAATATTGACCTAGATGTCACTGGCTGAGAAGAGGTGAAGGAGATGACTCGGGTGAACTGTGCCTCCCTCAGCATGCTCAATGGTTTGCTGGTGAAGTGGAGCATAATATCATCACACTGATATTGGAATGACGCACCTCTCTGAGGTTCATTAACATTCTCTTCACTCCAAAGCTTTCCTCATAAGAGAAAATGTCTCTGCAGTTCACCCAGTGCAGGCACAGGTTGACCCGGTTGGTGAAAATGGACAGGTGGTTGATGGATGGAGCAATGAGAGCAGGAGGGGGAAAAACTTTCCAACACTGTCTCTGAGTACATGAGATACTTCCACTCGTTACAATGTATTTCTATTTGTATTTTACTGTCTATCTCTTCACCACTTCAATTCAGGGGGCTGTACTAAAGATATAATATAATGAATAAACCAATAAAATGTTTCTCCAGTGTTTGCTGGATAATTACATCTTCTTTTTTGTCTGAAACCTACCAACTGATAATGACAATGCCGACATAGTGTCAGGTATGGATGTGAGACTGCAGCTGGACTGATTCACAGCCAGGGATATGAAATTAAATGACGTGATATCGACCCATAACTGGTCACTTCTGGCTCAGGAGGGAACTCACCAGTGACTCACAATGGTCAATATCTCCCCCTAGTGTACATGAATAACAATTCAACACTAAACAGCTAGTAAATGGTTTGCCATTTCGAAATAGCTCATGTGGATTGTTATAGTTTTTTTGTTTTCAGCAAACCTTGTGATGAAAGATAATCATACCATTAATGGTAAGATGGGGGGAAAAAGACGAGCAGATATTTTCTGGTGTCACTGCTTGTGTCAATCAGTGTCAGACCCTGTGTGTCAATCTTTTTATATCCGTCTATGGTCAGGGCTTGTGTTTGACCAGTTCTTGTTGTATACTCCCATCCTGTGGTGAAAAAGAAACATTACATTAGGAACTTAGAAATTACTTGTTTCTCATCAATTACGGAGGAATATTTCTTTAACATTAAAACATTACTCACATTTTTATTACAAGCATTAATCATTAGTCTGTGTGATTCAAGCTGGTGGTCAATATTCTCTTTTAGCTTCACAGAGAAGAATCTGATTGTAGGGATACTGAAGGTAAATGGATAATGGAGTCAAAGTTATAAGTTACTAGTGATTACAGTACATACAGTGAGATTAAAAAAATGTTTACAGAAGGGAAGAGTTGATACTGGAACATTAGGTGTCAGGGTTATGGTTAGTACTCACTGGTGCATCACTACTGTTAATAAAGAAAAAACTATAATCCTATTGTGGCCAGTAATATTAATTAAACATAGGTGAGCAAAAATGTCATAAAGTAAAAATACAACAAAATGCAACAAATATGGGACCATCCTGTAAATGGGCGACAGGACAGCTCCCCAAAAGTGAAGCCAGCCAGACCCCCAGTCACGTCATGTATGTCAGTCTGGACAAGTGTCACAAGATAAGGGACGTCGCTCTGCGTCGTTCTTTTTTTGAATCTTTTATGATTGGACAATTGAAAATGAAAAATGGGACAACGCTACCCCTTCACAGCTACAAGCAAAGTGAAGGTGTAACGCAAAGTGTCAAGGCTGAGGGGTGAGACCTATACAGTCTATGACCAGAGGAGAGGAGGAGGAGAGGAGGAGGAGGAGAGGAGGAGAGGAGGAGGAGAGGAGGGAGTTTGGAGTGGAGTGTGAAATCCAGTCATTTGTGTTAAATCCAGTCCGTAGTTTCTTGCTCTCTCTGCGTATCTCAAGTTTCACTCCGGCGCGTGCTCTGCCCTCTCGGCTTTGTGTTGTCAGGCAGAAAGCCCCCCACACACACACACACACACACAAACACACAGAAGGGTGGCCCTGACACACACACTCACTCACACTTACACACACACTCTCACTCCACCATCTACGATCACAATCCGCCTCTCGTCCCGTCGTCTGTTCAAACCGCGGTCAGCCATCGTCGGTCATCTCTGCCCCCGCGCTGCGACCATGTCGGCGGGAGTGGAGTCTGGATTCTCGAGCGAGGAGGTGCTGAACAGCCGCTTCCCTCTGCACCGGGCGTGCAGGGATGGGGATGTCGGCGCCTTGTGCTCCCTGCTTCAGTGCACATCCAACCCGGCTGACCTCAACGTGGAGGACACCTTCTACGGCTGGACGCCCGTACACTGGGCCGCTCACTTCGGAAAGGTAGGCCGGGTTCTGGTGTTTGACGGAGCGGGTCTTTGTTCATGGAGCTCGGTCTGGTCTCGGCCATTTCCTGATGTTAACTGATCGCTGATGAGACCAAACAGCAGCCATGGTTTACTGGAGGCGGACAATGGACCATTAACACGATCACGCAGCTTCCACATTACAACAACACCGAACAACGGCGTTCATCGTGTTTTAGCCACTTATTGTTAGCTAGCTAACATTTTATTATTATGAGCGGGAAAATCTTCAACGTGAACTCAATGTCCTGTTAGATGAGAACAATGAAACTTCAGCCTCACGAGACAAAACACTACTTATCTTGGCTAATCCAAGTTAACTTAGAATTCAAATAGTTTTATAAAACGAGTGAACACAAAGCTGGAGTAATACAAGTAATTCATGTTCTGTACGTGTGTGAGCTTTTTACAGGAAACATGGCGGACACAAAAAGTCCCTTCAAAGTTAACTTTAAACGCTAATAACACGTTTCTTACGAACTTCATCGACCCCAGGTAAACACGCTCAGAGACCTGTAGTAAGATTAGTTTCACACCGACTACTCTCTGGAGAAGGGCAGGGCTATACCCTGCAGGAATTGGATTCATGCCTGAATCAATAAAAGACAGAGACAGGCTGAGTGTAATGTTTCATTTGTGCTTCTCTTGTCTGAACCCGCACAGTGTCACGTCTTCTTCCAGAGCAATGAACGGTGATTACTGCAAACGTGCTGTAAAGTGTCTGACTTCCTCATCCATCCATTCATTCTTCCCTCCCCTGTCTCTGCACAGCTGGAGTGTGTGATGCGTCTGGTTCAGGTGGGATGTGGTGTGAACGCGGTGACCTCCAGGTTTGCGCAGACGCCCACTCACATTGCTGCATTTGGGGGCCACCCTAAGTGCCTGTTATGGCTCCTGCAAGCTGGTGCAGACATTAACAGACAGGTAAGGCATAGGATGCACTCTCAACACACGCTCTGCACACTTGGAAAAAGGTTTCAGACAGGCATCGAACTCTTCCCCAGGGGTTGTATGTGACAAGGCAAATGTCCCCTAGTAAAAGCTCCAGAAGATGTCAGGCCGTGGGAGCACGCAGCAGGAAAATGTCCAGAAAATTCTTTGTGAGTGAGTTGATTATGTTTCTGACTTGAGACAGATGTAAAACTGGAAAAAAAAACAACAAATATCTCAGGATGAAAAAGATTTCTAACACACAGACGCAGATGCAGACGTCAATTTGAGAAGGTGTGGAGCTTCAAGAGTTTTTGGGGATGCAGGCCAATTTCAGTGTGAAGAAAAATGTGATTCCTGCAGTGAAATGTGTCCATCAAGTGTGCGCCAACCAGCCTCGCCTGAACATTACAGACATTTTCCTGTCGTCATGATTGAGCCTGATCCAGACAATCTCTCGCTATGTTTTACTTATCTGTAAGGCAAACTCTGGAAAATGTCCTGACCCTATTATCTGGAGTTCATGTGTAAAAAAATTAATACGCCTGATAATTTAATAGTTCAGGCGGGTGCTTTCAAAATCACTCAGCAAGTCAAGAACGTTCACAAGAATTTCACTTGTTGACATTTGCCAGAGAGACTCGTGTAAACATGATCTTTCACATGGTTTGCTGGCTACGCTGCGAGGACAGCAGCACATAACAGAGTTACGTTTAACAACAAGTCACTTTTTCATTAAAAAATGAAAGAACATCTGCTATATACTGGCAGTGGCACAAATGCTAGAGTGAAAAGAGCAGAGCTGTGTGAGAGGCTGGGCTCACGCTGATCCCACCAAAGAGGATCATTCTAACTCGAGGTCATGATCCTTAGCATGTATTGTTACTACTTAGCCCTCCACTTGACCTATATTCAGATTATGTGTGTCAGCTCCACTGCTTTTTGCCTGTGACGTCTTTGCCTCCTCATGTATTTTCATGCTCAGGCTCTGGGGGTTATGTTTTATGCTGCGCTGCACCGCCGAGAGGAATCAGATTAGTAGGTCACATTCACATAACATGTTGTCGTCATCGCGAAACACATTAGTAGTGATTTAGCTTTGAATTTGCTCAGCAGATGTTAAAACACCTGGTAAAACTCTAGGATTTCCCTCTTTTGGATTTATGATATTTTGACTGTTGGGACAGTAGATGAGTGTAGCATGTGAGCACAGCCCACAATGCATTGTGGTTGGAGACAGCCTTCTTAGTGTGTGCTTTTGTTCTCTTGCTCCTTTGTATCCCTCCCCTCCATCTGCACTAATGTGCAACTGTAAATGTGTGTGGGTGGTGGTGGTGAAGTCTCTGTGAAAGGTTCAGCCTCTGTTACACCCTCTGTTACACCCTGTCATAGCTCATGCAGTTTATTTTTTCTAACTGTGGAAATGTAGAAGAGGTTGTATTTGATTTTAAAACTGCGTCATACATATTTATAGTTAGTTTAGGAAATAGAGAAGTGAAAAGTGTAATTTTGGTCGCTACTGCTTCTTGTTGTGCTTAACATAGGCACAGAAGTAATGACATCTGATCTACTGAGCGAGCCACATGGCTCTCATAGCACTGCCATACAAGCCAGTACCCAGTCAGATTTAACTTAAGCCTCTTTCATTCAAAGTTATTGTGATTAAAAGGCTGAAACACCTCAAGGGACCATTGAAGATTATTATTTTCATGACAACAACCAGTCTTACAGAGTTCAAATGTGATGGTTAAACAACTGTTCTGTGGCCCTTAAAATTAAACTGTATTGAATACCTTTTATTATAAATCATTCTTTTTTTTGCTTTGGATTTTTTTTATAACTTTGTTTAGATAAGTGCAATACAAATACAGTTATATAGTCTCAATGTTTTTGTGTGTAACTGCAGTCTTTTGTCGTCACTCAGGACTATGTGGGCGAGACGCCCATCCACAAGGCTGCTCGTGCGGGCAGTCTGGAGTGCATCAACGCTCTCTTGATTCAGGGAGCGAAAGCTGAGTAAGTCCAACGATGGGTCATGTGCCCACATTTGTTTTTCCTCTGTACTATCCAACTACGTAGTTAACACCTTTACAAGGGATCACCACCAAACTCAAATCACACACGTAACAAAATCTAATGACGGATTTAAATGCAGCTTCCAAATGTCAGAGAGTCTGTGAAGCAAGTGAGGGAGTGAGCAAGTTTGTACAAGAACTGTTAAAAGAAGTATAAACTTGACATTTTTGATACCATGGCTGTCTCACTCATACTCAGCCAGAAAGAAGCTGCTGTAATATATGGTAAATTAGCCATAACTACATTAAAGTGGTATGCTATACATAATTGTAAATGAAAAACCAGCATACATTGTTTTTCTGGTGGTAAAATTTGATGCTGGAAAATGTCAAGAAACATTCACATTTAGTTTAGTTGAGTTTATTTTGCACAAAATTGTGTGAAACACAAAAGTTACATGGATGAAATGTTAAATTCTTATAGGGTGTGATAGAAACCAGTAATGGCTTATATGAAAACTACAACCAAATATAACAAATAAATACAATACTTAATATTCAATATAGTTGTATATTAGTATATAAGAGTAAATTGGACATTAAATAATATCCCATCAGCGTAAGTAGAAGCATTTCATTAAATAGTCACTTTTGTGACTTTTTGTCGGAACGGTAAACTGTTGATAAAAGACAAAAAAACCCCACAGTGTTTATCGTTCAACCACTTCAGCTCAGAACAGTCTGATCATGAGATGTGTTGTTAGAAAGTAATAGAATTGATGGTGCTCCCTTGAAAATGTGACACATTTTGTTAATCCTTGAAATTGTTGTTTATCATTGCAACAATTCACATTAAGTTGCCCTCCGTGTGTAATAATGTTAACAATCAAACTGATTCCATAGACGATGATTAAGTTCCTTTTTATTTACTTTCAGTAAACACCTTTTAAAATTCCTTTGTAATTTGAGGAAGGGCTGTTATAACAAAGTTTAATAATTAACTTGGCACCGCGCCCTCGATCCTAACCAGCGCCTGTAAATTCATAAAGTTTATTACTCAGACATGAGGACAACTTAATGTAGAAGTTGATACAACTGCTTTTAGACTTGTAGATAATTTTGCATGATCTTTGTTAAATCTAGAGTGTGGTTTTCTTTGTTAACATTTGTTTTGGTTATTGTCTTAAATAAACAAAGCCTGACTAGATGACCAAATGCACATTGCCTCCTTTTTTAATAACTTTTCACCATCAGAAAGAAAAGATGATATTTCTGTTGCACAGAATGAAACTGTATTTATTTCACACTGGACGTTTCCAGGAGATGGCACAAGATCTGCAAGATCCGATTATTTGAGATTTGTCGACACTATTTTGACAAAAAGACAATTCTCACCCTTTCCACAAATACAATGAGATAAAAAATAAGTAAATATGGACTTTGAAATAATAATCAAAATGACTTTAACCGGCGTAGACCATGTTGTTATCGTTGGTAGTTTTAGTTTGTGGATGAATACTTTGCCTCAGTTGTAATGCTCAGCCACACCTTTACAACTGGTAACTGTTTTTGTGCTTTGTCGGGATGGTAAAAGATTTAGTTACTGTTGGTGCAACTGAGGCATGAACAAAAGCATAAAGAGACACAACTCATCTTTCCTGTTTTCTAAATTTAGATCCAAGGCCTGCAGGGAGGTGAAACAAATATGGGTCATGATTATTATTTCTAAAGGCCACGCAAGTCAGTCAAGTCAATAAACTAAGCACTTGATTTTCCACATGTCAGAATTAACTATTTACACACTATAAAAATGTGTAAACATTACATCTGTGCTGCTTGTTAATATTGCTCGAGCATTGATTAAATAATAAATTTGTCTTGGGTTTTGCCGGATTAAAGTGTTTTTTTTAATGCAAAAATGATGAGATGTTAAAATATGCAGACACATTTAAAGTTCTGTAGGTTGATCAACCAGTTTTTCTTCTCATCTAAACTGAATGCATTACCTGCAGTTTCATTTTTTGCCACAAGCTTTATGCCTTTTCTTTCTGATCTCATTCAAGTACAGAAGCTCAAAACAACCAGGGAGATTGCAGATGCCAACTTATTGTGTGTAGCTTTTCTATGTTTTTATGCCATCAGCAGAGAAATGGTCACTATGTGGTCAAATAAATGA